TATTGTTTTTTCCTGGTTTTTTTTTTTTGTACTACAATTAAAAAATGTGCAGGGTGCATAAGAATTCTTTCATGTTTTTTTCAAACTATTATTGTGAGCCGCCCAGAGTCACTCGTTGGGGGAAATAGGCAGCATACAAGCGTAATAATAAATAAATAAACAAACAAACAAATAAATAAATAAATAGTCTGGCCCCCCAACATTCTGAGGGACTGTGAACTGGCCCCGTTTAAAAAGTTTGAGGACCCTGCTGTAGACGCATAGGGAAATAGGAATCTATAGGTGGTGATAGCTGTATGTTACACTCCAGTGAGTGGTGATAATGAGAAATGAAAGATTATTTTTTAAAAAAAATTAAATATGAACCAGCAGAACAATTATTCTTGTGAGAGATACAAATGGATGTGTGAGGAACAAGATGAGAAAGGACCAAAAGAAAAAAAAAGGTGGTTGTTCTGGAAAGGGTGAAGAGGGCTAAATAAGCATCCAGCAAAGTGAATAGAATTTTTTTAAAAAAAGTAATGAAAAGATTTGGGATGAAACTGAAATGAACAAATGCTGCAAGGAGCATTTTAGAGATCTGTATGGAAATGAGAGTGATACATTGGGGAGTGGAACTGAAAAAAAAATGATGTAAATATTATTTTCTGTTTTAAAAAATGGATGAAAAGGAAATATTAAATGCTGTGAGAACGATAAGACAGCAGGTGGAATACCTGGAGAAATAGTGTAACTGCAGGAATGTGCTTTGCTTTAGGATGTCCACATGACTTGTTCAACATACATGTAAAGACTGTACCTGTGCCTGATGCTTGGAAGAATGTAATTACTATTCTTCTATGCAAAAGGAATGGTAGCAAGTGTGAACGTAAAAACTACAAGAGATTTAAATTGTTACATGTGCCTTGGAAAGTGTTTGGCAGAATTCCAACTGAAAGAGCACAAGAGGTGACAACGAGCAAAATTTTGTGAGTGTGGCTGTGGGTTTATAAACTTTTAGCTGTTTTTTCTCTCTCTTTACCTCATGCTTTTATTATGATGTCTTTGTCTTAGCGTTTCTTACTTGTTTCTGCACAACTTTCAATGGAAGTAGTGTGAAGGGTATGTATGTATGAAAGATGCAGATCAACAGTGGAAGGGGTTATCACTCTGCAGCCCAGATCTGTGCACTCTCCAAATGCAACCGGTTGACCATTACGTAACACAGCATTCTGGACTACATGGGACTATGGCCTGATCCAGCAAGGCACTTCCTATGTTCTTACTGTTGCAGCCAAGAGGCTATTCATCATTTCAATTTACCTCCCCTGAGGAAATGCTTTTTAGAGCGTTGGTGAAAATGAAAATGGCAGGAAATCTCCTAGCTGTCAAGCGACCAGAGACAACCAAGCCAACAGCATCCTGAAAACACTAAGCTCTATTATCTGCTTCAGCCATAATACTTACTAGAGAACAAGGCTCTAATTCTACAGAATAATTTCACTGAACACAGTAGGACTTATCTGGGGGAAAATACGCTTTCTTTGTAAAACCATTATTATCTGCTGACAAGGATCTTATGAATCTATGAATTTATATAATACCCTGCCTAGACCTAGCTTCATTTCCTTATATTGCTCCCTCTGACAGACATCAGCTCCCTAGCAGAGGTCTGTCTTAATTCTGTTTGTTTCAACTAGAGATGCCACAATCTAACCTGGGAACAACTGTACAAAAAACTTGTTGCTTTCTCCTACTTAAAGTAGTATATAACTAGAGCAAAGTTCTTCCTCCAACAAAAACATGGAGGTGAATTGTGCTTTCATTAGATGTAATATATGGAGAGCCAGTTTGGTGTAGCAGTTAAGGCACCAGGCTAGAAACTGGGAGAACATGAGTTCTAGTCCTGCCTTAGGCACAAAGCTGGGTAACCTTGGGCCAGTCACTCCCACTCAGGCCTAGGAAGCAGGCAATGGCAAACCACTTCTGAAATCTTGCCAAGAAAACTGCAAGAACTTGTCCAGGCAGTCGCCAGGAGTCAACACTGACTCAAAGGTGTGCATACATACACACACACAATAATTTTTACTTAATAGTCTCACACACTCCAAGAACTTAAACAATCGCAGAGGTATTTGAAACCACAAGGTGACTTTACAGAAAAAGTATGCAGAAGTTAATCCACTTACAGTTAGACCTGCAGATACATAATGATATGTATAACAATTATACCTTAGTATAAGAATCAAAAGCAAGATGTTCCATGTCAGGAACACATTAACTGGGACAATACTGAAAGTGAGGTTTAAATATCATTTGTTTCTTTCACAATGCTTTCTCTTTACACACACACACACACACACGCACACATACATTTGAATTCAGAAACAGCCATTTGGAGCACATCTATTAATGTACCGATCTGCCCTTGGAGATGATCATACAATCATCTGGACAACGAAAATTCCTTGCAACAACCCTTTCCTAACCTAGTGCTTTACAGATATATTGGGACTGAAACTCCCAACCTTAATATTTTTCCAGCATGCCTTTCAGGGCTTGAGAATAGTTGTGGTGTGAAATCCAGAAGAGGAGTTTCAGTCTCCAATGATTAAAAAGAAATCAGAAAAATATTAAGAGCTATGAAAACATCATAAAATGAAAGATGTGACAATTTTTTAAAACAAATGGAATAATGATATTTAGATACTATACTCAGAAGGAAGGTTCAAGGACAAAACATCCTGTCCATAGCACTTGATTTATTTTATTAAGCATTTTCAACAAAATGTGAGACAAACATGAAAATGCATTTAATCAAATCATCATGGAAGAATTGGTTTATTGTTCTTCATTGTTTTTATGCAAAGTAAAAGTTGAGTATCATGAAACAGATGTGAACATGGAAACTTGCAATTTATTTAAATAATCACTGTTAATGGGACTGGGAAATTGGTCTCAGCTTCAGGCTCACTTCTTTCAGTGAATACCAGGAACCTTTCCAATTCATCCATGCAACTCCATCATCTGTTCCATGTTTTGCCATTTCTGAGGTGTAATGTCCACCCCAGTAGTATCTGCCATTTAGATTGGCTGAATGACAACGATTGTACCACCAGCCACCACCATCTTCTTTAGAGCATTGCTTTTTGGGATCTGGGTGTATCCTGTGAATTAAATTATACAAAGCATTTAAAGGAATAGATACCAATAATTTTGAATCTCACCTTATCTTACTACACGTGTATATCCACTGCTGTGACACACAGAAAAATATTAAAGTTTTAAAATAAAACATTTCAGTTTCTGCTTCTTCTGCTGTTTTGATTTGAAATGTTCCACTTTCAAATGCCTATATTTCCTAATACATTGGATTCATTTAGTGTTTACTTGCAACCTTTTCAAATCCCAAATAAAATGTGAAGTACTGTTGGTACTTTAATAGTTTTTATATATAATAAAGTAGTGAATTCAGAAACAGCTATATATTACTGGGGCAAAGCTACTTCTATTAATCAGTTTAGCTGCTCTAGGAGAACAGCTTCAGTTGTCCAGAAAAATGAATACCAGATACTCATAATTTTACCTTCTAGCTACTCTTTATAACCTTTTCCAGACAGAAATGCAACCCTATACAGATCTAATGATTATGGTGTTGAACTAGGACCAGGCAGACCAAGGACCAAGTCCATCTCAACCAACTCACTAGGTGACTTTAAGCCACTTTTACACAATCCAACCTGTCCTGTAGTTGTTCTGGGAAAAAAAATGGAGGAGAGAAAGCTATTCATGCTGTCTTGAGTTCCCAGAGGAAAAGTGGGATGAAAGTTGAATAAATCAAGAGGCATGAATTTCATTGAGTTCAACAGAGCTTATTCACAAGGAAGTATGGACAAAATTACAAGAAAATGTTCTGTAGGAATACATGTGAACTTATTGGCAAAAGTATTTCAAAGACTAAAGTATAAAGAAAGCTGTTTGCTGGAAATCATTCATAAAGAATTATGAATGTGATCTTGTTGGAAACCAAGTAAAAAAGCATATACATACCATCCATCATTGTCTCTGTCAAAAGTACTGAAGAACATGCCATTATGGATTGTCATGGTTCTGTTTTCGCCAAATAATTGTGAAGCTCCTTCTAAAAGTGCATTTCCAGCTGTGCCTCTGTAGTTACTAACAGAGAGCTGGTATTTGTTATTTTCATTCTGAATACTGAAGCCTCCATAATGGGCTTTAACTTTAGCACCATCCCAATCTTCCAGTTCAATTAAAAGTTCAGTAGGCCCCAATTTGGTAATCTGGTTAATTCTGTCATTTCCAAGCCAATATTCACCTGTGACACAAAACAAATTCCCTGAGGCTATTTTCATTGAAATTTAAACAGTCTCTTCAACCTGATTTAAACCTACAATAATGTAACTAAACTCATTCCAAAATGTATGAAAAATCAGATTTATATATAGTGATTTACATTTTCAAGCATTCTGACTCCATACTTAAATAGAGTGGCATGGCAACCTGATAGGGAATGATGGTTTGAATTTTTTTTTTATTGAGTCCAAAGCAACTTGGCATAGATTCTGAAATGCATCTCTCAGCAGAAGACTCAGGGAACCAAACTGAAATTGACAACTATCATAGAGAAAATGCTCCTCCCTATCCTCTCAACAGTTTGGCTCATTTTGAAATGAGATTGCAATGCATGGAAAACTAGTTGCAGGGGGTATTTCTAATCTGGATCATAGCAAGAGAGTAAAGAATTAAACCCTTCTTTTCTGAGCATGGCAGTCCCTATTCAAAAAAAAAAGTTCTTTCTGCTTTAATGAAATTAAAACCAAACCACTTTACACTAGGTTGCAGGTAATATATTTAACTTCAGGTGTAGCTTGGCAGTCTCTAGAGAATCTCTAAGGAAGGAAAGTTCTATAACTGTTAGGCCACTAAGAAAAAATATCTCTTAACACTCCTTTGCTATAGATGCTTTATGCATTAATAAAAAATTCAAGCAAGCATTGACAGATTTAAAAGTTAAGCATTAAAGGCCAAAACTGACACTCTGATTTGTATTCCCACCTGAAAGAAGAGCACAAATGCAGAAAATGGAATAGTTTAAAATAAGTATCAAATGAAACTACAAAAAGGAAATTAATCTGTTACATTTTGCATTACCAGAAACAACTGTCAATCGTGTATTGATAAGCATTGCTGAAAACCAGATTCTTACCTGGGGTGTCACAGTAGTTTTTTCCACCACTGAAAGCAATATTTCCAAATCCCTTTTTATATGCATCCCATTTTCTTCCAAAGCCAACACTCCCATCTTTGCGATTTTGAATAAGGAGCCAACCTGTCCAAGGAAGATGATATTAAAATGTAACAATTATATAGTTCTATAAAGCTCCAGAACTGGGGGGATGGGGGTCAGAAGGAGAATGTGACAAGATGCCCTTGGTGGGCTCCCCACTCTGAATGGACCCCACCTTGTTATCACTGTTATCCTTATCTAATCATTTGCCCTCCCCTTCTGTGCTCAGTCTATTGCCTAGAAAAAAGACCCCAGCATTTGGAAGTGGCTGTTCTTGCTTCCTGCTCTTATCATTGTACATATATTTGAAGAGGCAGGTGAGTATTATCAGGGTTGGGGATCCAGTATGTAAAACCATTTTGACTAAGGATATTGGCTTAACAATTACCTCCATCTTCTGTGGTCATATCACAATACACTCTGAATGGTTTAAAGAAAGGATCAGGCTGAACAAGGTACATCTCAGATGATTCACCTCCTTTTCTATATATGTCTTCACACTCTGCAAACAGAAATCCGTTATCTATATAGAGTGAACTACAAAAAAGTTCTGAATAGAGGAGTAAGTAATCGTCTGAATTATAGAAATCTATAATGTAATTAAACTGTATAGGAGGACTTGAAGATTTTATCTGCAGTAAACATCTATCAGAGAATTTTCAGAGTGTGCTCGCCTTTGGGACCTCTGCCTTACCTAAGGCTAAATACATTTTTAGAAATGCTGATTTGGAAATTCTTTCCTCCATCCCCAATGTAAGACTTGAATTTGGCCATATAGAAGCCATCAACGCTATGGCCAGAAAGAACTATTATGCAAACATGGAACTTAAGTATCCAACTCACAAGGCTAAGGAAAGAACAACCAAAAAAGGGTGGGAGGAAAAGGTCTAGGATGTAAAGTCTGAGACTTCATTTCTTTGTTCTGCAGTAGACAGATCTTCTATATGACTTCCTTCTTGTCTATAGTAACAGAATCTACCAAGCCATGTCACATCTATGAAGTCTCTGCTGTTATTGGATATGGCAATGAGTTTATCGAGTTAAGCTTTTTTGTTGCGTCTGTTGTGAAGTCTAACACCAAACAATGTTGTCAGAACTCAAGCTTTCCTGACAAAATACCTGTGCAGATGAGGCCATGGGATTTTAAAGAGATATTTTAAAAATATGTATTATTAACTTAAAGTCAGAGAATTAGTTCTCATGCATTCCTTCAGATGGTTAAAAATAACAGAGGAAGGGAAACAACAGTCAAATTGCTGCAGGCTAGAAGGCGGCAACTAGTGACTCTAGAACTGCATTCACCTCTTGACCTGATTTCAAATGTTCTCTGTACTCACAAATAACCTCTCCTTTTCCAAAAAGGAAGGAGACTATCAGAGTAAGGGGTAGCCCAGCCACATATAACTCTAGTCTCATACATCTAGGCCTCACATCTAACCATACTGGCATGCAGTCCCTGAAGATTCCCATTTCCACCTCAGAACTTTCAATAGCCAGCTACCAGGGCCATGAGGGAGAACATAAGGATCCAGGGGTGCTGGATTCAAAAGCTGCATAAGTGGTTATGGAGTGTAATTATCCGGGACAATTGTTGGTAATCCAAAGAGGTACAACACCGATACAAAGCAATGAACAATGTTGAACTTGCATTAAATCTCTCAAGGGAGACCGCAATATAAGGATATTCTCTCCACCATACCTAGTGGTATCCAAGGATGCCTAAGAATCTGTCTCATTTCTAGAGCATAGCAAGTGGGAGAAATGAAACATTACCTTTGCCAGACACTACCGGGATATTGCAAGAAACTGTACAAGAGGTTTCGCAGTCAGACAACTGTGATGTAATAGCATTTTCTAGTTTTTGTAATTTTTTGTTCAAAGTATCCACAATTGAACGAAGTAATCGTAAATTAGCTGGAATATTGTTGTCTAATTTCTCTTTGATGTAAGTGTAGTGTTCCTCAAGTTGTCTGTTATATTGGGAAATTAAATTCTGATTATCTGGAGAAAAAAAGGAAATTAATGTAAAGAGGTAGCAAGCTTTTTTAAAAAACAAAATACATTTAACAAGACTTTCCATTTCCTTCTAACTTCTGTACTGTGCTTATTTCTAGACTCTAAGACCCTGGAATAAAAACCCCAGGCTTCCCAATTTTTGTAAAATACTATAAACAGGTAGCACTATTTGCAAAATAAATAAATGCTAATTAGTTTGATAAACCATGGCCAAAACTTTATTTCCTCTTTTCCTCTTAGACAAGGATCACAGATGACTGAGGAAAATATCTGCCTACTGGATCCAGTACTCAAGACTGATATTGTTATACTAATTAAGTAGTTTTCACTCTTGGGTTCCTAGATTATTTATAGGTCTCACCATCCCCAGGAAGAACTGTCAGTTGTCACAAATGAAGGCAAATGTGCCTCAAAAAGCTTTAATAACCCAGGATTGGGAATCGCTAATTACTCAGGCTGAGAGCCAACTGACATGACAAAGTTGGCATATTGATGAACATGACAAATTCCACAAGCAGTTTTTGTAAGCAAACATATGCAAACCTATCTAAAAGATTGTAAGTTAAGTGTGAATTGGACTGCAGCAGCTCCAATCTTGTTAGTTCAGTGGGACTCGTTTTGAAAGAAATACATACAGGATTACACTGGTAAACTATTATTTACATTTCCCAAAGTAAAACTATAAAGAAAAGGTGACAGTGGTTAAAATTAATTTTTACAGATATTATAGCAAACGTAGAAACTAGGGAAAATGCTGTGTCTTTACCATATAAGCTTTATTTACTAAGTTTGCATCATTTCTCAGCCTTTTGGTTTAAATCATTTGATTTATGTGTACTTGGTTTAAGTGTACTTACTTTGCAGAGTGTGTTTGAGTCTGTTCATATTGTTATTTACCCTTCATCTTTAAAACAAAACTTTTATAATGAAAACAAGGCAGTTTTGCCTACATATTAATTTACTGCCGTGACACATTACTCTGTTAGGAGTCACCTGTATATTGTTTCTGTTTTTGGGTTAAACGTTCATCCAATAAATGGGCATAATTATTGATGGTTGTAGAGGACTGTTGCAGGTGCTGTGCTCTGTCCATTAGATCCTTCACAGTCGGCTTCACTGTGCTTTCTTGCTTCAGCAGTTCAGTTCTCAACTCACAACCAGTTGGACATAGTACACCCTTAAAAAGAACAAAAGAAGAGATGAAGTAAGTTAATTCAAAATCAGACATGACAAAAAAACCTTTAAAAAGTGCAAATAGTACTTTTTATTATTTATTATCAGAACTATACCAGGCAGGGTGTGTGAGAAAGCTTAGTTCTTTCCTTTCTCGCTGTGGGCCTTATAAAAATCTGTCCTCCTAAGCAACGTCTGGCACCAACATAAGTAATTATTTCCCACGTGATATAAATAATCCCTTATGATATGAAGAGTAATTTTTGTGGGGGAAAGCAATAACACTAGGTTGCCTTTCATATCCTATGGATCCAGTGAGACTAAGGGTGCTATAGGTAGTCCCCGGATTAAGAACGCTTGGTTTAAGGACAACCTATAGTTAAGAACAGAGCCTACTGTAGCAAAATTCAAGTTAAATACACAATGATTCGAGTTAAATACACAATGGTTCGAGTTAATTACACAATAATACTTATTCAGTATTATACAATAATGCTGTTCTGGCTTATATTGTATACAAATTCAACCTAAGGACAGACCTTGGGAACGGAACTTGTTCTTAAACTGGGGACTACCTGTATTTATGGAGATTTGCAGAAGTATGGAAGCCATTTCCCCATGGTGCCATGACAGGTATGTGAAAGGAGCTCCAAATGGATTAAAAAAATAAATGAATCAGACTCAGGTATCTGGTCCTGCCTGTTCCTTCTTCATGAAGAAGTACATGGCAAGAAAATGAGCTCTACAGCATTCTGAGCTTGGTGCCTATGGAGTCATATGAGGAAAGGCAACAAACCAGCTGACATCTCTGCCCAGTCCAATCATAGCAGGCAAACAGTGAAAGAGAAGGAAAAAGATAGATCCAAGCAAATATTGTAACCACCTAAAATATTCTGGGTACAAAAAAGTTCTAAAACTATCTCCCTAAGAATGAATGTTCTAGTGTGTGTGTGCGTGTGTGTATTTGATATGCCAGTGAATGTTTTACGATCCACAGCAAATGACCACATAATAAATGGATATGCGCATAAACATTCCATTCCACAAAATGCACAATAAATTTACAAAGTAAACTTTAAATAAAGCAATGTATTATTTCTGCTTAAATATTCTAGCCCAACTCTACATCAGTGCAACTAACACCTACCAGTTCCTCTGCCAAGTGCTTGCAACCTCCACTATCGGGGTAAACAATGGGCCCTGGCCTTGGGCCAGTAACAGGTTTTCTGGTTGGACGAGCTCGATACCTTACACCACCAACGGGAGGAAGAGGAGCTGGTCTGAGAGTTGGAAGTGGTTCCCGTTGCTTGTTCAGCGGTCTGTGACCTCGTGCATCCACGGTCCGATTTTTACTTTCAGTCTATTTAACATCAGGGAAAAAATACTATTACAAACTGCAAACAGTCAGAATTTTCAAGATGAATCTAGAAGAAAATACAGGTAGTCAAACTCACATAAAACCTGATGCAGACTCAAATAAGAACAAACTGAACATGCTTTTTGGAATATTTCTTTGTATTGTGCTTTGTAGAGAACTTTTGTTTCTTATTTTGTTAGATTTACAACCCAAGTTCCCTTTGGACTTCAAGTTGACATCACTCCCTTCTACAATTTTTCTCTACAGCAATAATACTCTAAGATATGTTGGGCTGAAAGATAGTGACTGGTCCAAAATTACAAAAAAGAGCTTTCATGATTGACATTGGACTTCAATCTGGCTCTCTCTAGTCCTAGTCCAGCACCTTAGGTATTATTCCATGCATGCTCTCTGGTGGTTAAATGTTTAATAATATACCTTAAGCTTCCTTTCATGGAAACTAATTGCTCAAATTAACTAATAATTTACTTGTAGACTGCATGGAGATGATTAGGAACAATACCTAACTTAGCACTTTATTTATTTATTTTGCTATATGATTATGATATGATTTTTTTTGCTATATGATTAACAATAATGGCTGGGTTCATACATTGCACTATGTCACAATATAGCTGGTTTGGCTTTGGCTTAGTATGCAATGTAAATCCAACTTGTGGCTTGTTAACCATGGCTTATGTTTTAGTACAATGTATGAACTGAGACAATTGTGGCTTATTCAACAATATTTAAGAAAATCATGGTTTGGGGAACTATGCAAACCACATTAATTAGATAATGTAAGTATAGTTCATTCTATCCACAGAAAAAAATTAAGGCGCAATCAAGCCATTATCCATCAATCCATAGAATAAAGTCACTTTTTTTTCAAACACAGTTCTGTCTTCTATTATTATGGTGTGCACATAATGGTGTGAAGTACTACTTCACAATGTATATCTACTACTAAAGCTCTCTTACTCACAGAAAAATGGATTTATGATCCATTTTTTAAACCCATTAGTTCAATAGGGCTTATTCCCAGAAAATGAGAACTAGGATTCCAGCCTAAACAAACATATATGCTATTTATTTATTTATTTATTTATTTATTTATTTATTTATTTAATAAACAAATAAATAAAAATTTAGATACCACCCAATTCCAACTGACCTGGGCAGCTCACAAATAATAACATAAAAAACAACACAAACCAAAACCAAGATGGGATTTGGGCACAATATACAGACAAGAAAAAGAGTAACAGGCACACCTAACAAGGGGCCCCATCTGTTTCACCCCAAGGTCTGGGAGAACAACCAGGTCTTCAGGGCTTTACAGAACACCAACAAGGTAGGAGCCACATGGATTGCAGAGGGATCTCATTTCAAGTATTAGTTTGTTGAAGGAAGCAACAATCAACAGACATTTCCAAAATGTGTCAGTATGCAGGACTCATATTGGGGGCACCTGAATTGTTCAAGATATTATACAATAAAAGTTGATTTGAAATCACATGGGGCAGAAGAAACCTCTAAGAATATGATTAGAAGAGAGAAGCAGCATGGAGAAAGACTTGACCACGCCTCCTCTTATTTTATTGCTCGAAAATATTATCCCCTCCACACACACTCACAGCTTTTGTTGGGGAAAAAAAAAATAAGGGAGGGTGCTGGTTAGCTTAATCTTTAAAATATCACTGCTGTGCTAAAAAAAAAAAAAATTGGAAGAGCACTACAGTTTTCTAATGCTTCCATCTAGTAGTCATCTAGACTTTTGCAACCCAGCTATGGAAGCCTGCCTTAAATAAATGGATGCCAAGAATCAATTACCAAGACTAGCCAAATGAAATAAACAAATCCGCGTATGCAGAAGAAAGAAAAACCAAAGCCAAAGGATGTGAAAATCAGTTTAAGGTAACTAGGAAAAAGGCAAATAAAAGTTTCATGACATGAAGATCTCATGGACTGCATCCACTTCAGGAACAACACAATTCTGTGGATGTGGGCAATGGATGTGGATATAAGAAATCAGAGTTCGAAAATCATGGAGGAACTTGGTTCTATGTCTGCAAAATCTAATCTCTCACACACAGTTTATAGAACAAAAGATTTGGAATAAGTTGGAAAGCAGTTAAAAATGTTTTGTATTTTAAAATAAAAGACAGCGATTGAAGAACCTGAGGCCCAATGGCTACAAATATGAAGAAAAACAGGCTTTACCGCATCTTTCTTAGATTAAAAATATTTTTGTTGATTAGCTGTATGGCTTATCACTGATTGGCATGTTAATCATATGTTTTGTATAACAGTTTGCTGGTAAATGAGTAAGGTAATACCAAATTGCATTCCAAAAAGTTTTTTAAATTAATTTACAATTGTTAAACATGTATTAATTAAACATAATAAAATATTTAATATTCCTTTCAGACTAATATAGAATATATCTTTAATTTATGAAAAGTTCAGTGTCTGACTAAATGATTATATGCTCAGACAATAGGTGTTTTTTTAAAAAATATATCTTTATTGTGCATTATCAAGAGAAATGATTCCCTACTCCACCCACTTCACTATAGGAATAAGGAACTCTTCTATGGTTAGCTTCACGCTCTTTTTTCTTACATTCTTTTTAAAACTATAACCAGATGAGTGCAAGGATACTATAAATGATGCTGAAGTAATCTCTAGAAGATCAACTGGTTCCCCTCACCCCTGCCTGATTTCATTGCTAGTGATAACATTTGATTCAGAATTTAAGTTTTTCAGACAAGTTCAACTTTTCTGCATATGAATTTTTCTGCATTTAAACATTTGATAGGAAACTACTAACACATCACTGGAATGCAATCTATCACAGAAACATCTATATGCTATATATTTTAGTTTAATTTTTTAAAAAAATCTCTTACCGGCAGTGCACCAGTTTCCTGTATGAAGAAAAAAGGGACAAAAGAAAAAACAATCAGAAAATATATACTCAGATGGGGAAAAATGCAACACTTTTGTCTTAGTAGATTAGGTTGAAAATTAAGCTTTTCTTTTTACAAATTAGAAATATTTTTTAATCTAAGTCAAATAGAAAGCATGCTATCATATAAAAGAAGTGATATTCTAACCTCATCGTCGTCATAGTCTGCAGTTTCATCAGATTTAACTAGTTCGACAGAAAGGAGAAAGAGCAATAGTAGTTTCATGATACTGAGTTGCTTGAACATCTTTGCAGTATTTCCTTGGAATTTGGGAAAGCAAATCCAAGCTTCTATATAAATGAGCCAACATGAGGCGTATTAACTGATTCATGATAGGTCCAACTGTCATCCCAATTGTTAATATTTAACCTTATGATGCCTGGACATTCACTAGTTGAGCAACATTGTTTGCTATGTGTGACCTTAAGCAAAGGAAAAATGGTTATTTAAATATAGTTCTGCTCATTTACTGAAACCAAATGGAGGTGATTCAAAATGATCAATATTCTTTAAGCAGAGTCCAGCAAAAGAATACATCAGTGGGAGAATTGCTCCTCTCTTTTATTTTCTTTCCATTAATTTCCCAAGTCTCAGCTCCTTTGACTCAAGCTATATTTTCTGACATTGGCTCAAATTCGGAATACTTAGCTATGCGTATACTATGCAGAATCTAAGCGAATAAAGCTGTTATGGCAAATGTCACAATTTCAATGGAGCTTCTAAGCAACACATTTCTTTGACTTTGAGTTATACCCTTCACTAATAGCAACTTCAGTTGTAGTTTTGAGATGTTTCCTTTCAGTACAATTTGTACATGACAGTCAAATGACACTTCAACCTGAGCCACATCACCTCTTTTTAAAACATAATTTGTCTGTTGATTACAAGGCTTATTGTACAACTGATTCAAAGCTTTAAGGCTTGCATAAAGAAAAAGATTTTGTAAATGAGACTGCAAATGTGTTTCCTGCATAAAAATCAGGTTCTCCGTATCAGGGAAATATGGTATGTTTGGGAAAAAAAAGAGCCAGTTTGGTCTAGTGGTTAAGGCACCAGACTAGAAAGCAGGAGATGGTGAGTTCTAGTCCTACCTTAGGCGTGAAAGCTGGCTGGGTGAGTTTGGGCCAGTCCCTCTCTCTCAGCCCAACCTACCTCACAGGGTGGTTGTTGTGGGGAAAATAGGAGGAGGAAGAAATATTAGGTATGTTTGCCACCTTGAGTTATTTCTAAAAAAAATAATAAAAGATGGGATTAAAAAATCTAAAAAAAAATTGACATTTATTTATTGATTACTATAGCCACCCATCTCAACAAGTGACATTGTATTTTGTCCTGATTAAAACAATCGAATCCCACGGTTATTGACACATAACAGATATCACTTTTTTTTATCAGAACGTACAAAAGAGATGGTAGCCATCATTGGGGGGGGGGGGGCAGGGGTAAGAAAGTGACAAAAAACCAGAACTTTTACTTTTGCATCAGAAATCAGGATGGAAGAACATAAGGTCTGGATTTACGTCATGGCATCACTGTAAGTATGTTATTATTTTCTGACATAAATTCAATTTGTTGCAGATGCTTGTCAATAGCCATCTCAATTTTAAGAAAAGTTCCCAAATCTATCTTAAGGCAATCATCTTTATTAGGCCTGCTGAAGGTCAAACTAGTGGTATGGCCATAATATATGCTGCTGAATTTACCCTACTGATCAAAAGAAGTGTTTATAAAATTATTGATGTAGGTCTTCTATGGTAGCTTGAACGTTGAGAGAACAAATTTTTGGTGGATATATTATTTTATCTGTATATGCAGGTTTATTGTAGCATTAGCTGCTCAGAGTTATTGCTTAAAATGGGCGACCATATAAATATTCTAAATACATAAATCATTATAAAAAAATAAAGATTCTACAACTAAAAGATCTGGAAATCATCCACCAGTATATATATTTTTAAATATCCCTTCCATGGCATCCCTCTAGTGCATTCCACAACTGACCCAGAATATGAAGGAATGATGTTCCAACTCTCTAAAGTAGCAGAAGTTGAAGTTGGATGGGAAAGTCTGGAAACTACCACTGTATATGAAGAATTGTTATTTATTTATGTTATAGCTTGCATTACATTCAGGAACTCAAGGTGGTATATATAGCATTCTTTCTTCCTATTTACCCCAACAATAACTGTGAAGCAGATTGTGCTGAGACAGAACGATTGGCCCCAAGTCAACCAGTGAACTTGTGACTGATGGAGGACCAGAACTTAGGTCTCCCCATTTCTAGCGCAACACCTTAACCACTCCTAGTACATTTGTCATAAGATCTTTGGAGCACAACCTAAATGGCGCCCTAAGATTTCAATGTATGTAATATGAGATATAGGAATGCCACATTTGAAGTTCTGTGCATGAACCATTCCTGAACATATTTGACTGATCTGTTGTGCTAGTGTTATAACAGGAAAATGTGGAATACAGCATCCAACAATAATGACTCACAAAATCAGCAAAATAAAATACACAAATATTCAATGTAGTACACTGTACACCAAAGCAATGTTAACATTACAAAATAGTTTTCCCAGCTAGACCAATCATGTCTTGTAGCATTGACTGTTTATTATCCAGTTGACTGACGTTACACAATGTTAGCCACCAACAACTTTCTGTATGCTATTGCAATGCAAATTAGGCAAACCAATTACACAGGAACATCATGTTTTCTTTGAACTGTTATGACTAAGTGCATAGCATACTGTCTTGTCTGAGCTTTTTATGAGAATGAGGCGTACAATATAAACAAGTTGCATTGCTAAAGCTGGATGGAGAACAGGGTCTTCTATGTAAACAGAATTGGTGGTAAAGATGTTGGCAGGCATTTCTCTCTTCTTAGGTTTTTCACTCATTTACCAAGTTATTTATTTAACCAGCGGAGGACAGAGATGCTAACTTGCATTGTTTGCTCTTTTGGTTTGTTCAAACAGTGGTGTAATTTCCTGCTCTATCAGGTGAGTCAAGGCCACTTTTCACTGACTCTCATATCAAAGACTGCCTTTGTGCATAGCACTGGGAACAGAGACTTTTGACCAAATATAAGCAACTGATGTTGGGGAAGGGGGAAGCCTGACCTCCTGGTTATTTATTCAAAAGTGCCCTTTTTTTCACAAGCGGTGTTGCAAGCTTATTTTGACTTTTAAAACAGCAAAGCAAACATAGAGTTTATCTCTGATATCTCAAACTGTAATCTGAAGGCAGCAAAAAGTTGCAGCAGTGACTTATAGTAAATGAGAATCTAATGTAATCACAATATGCAGAAAACAACCAAAACATTTTTTGAAGACTAATGCATGGAATAGTTTCTGGTTTAACACAGGCTCTGTCTGTCTATCTATCCTGTTTGAAAAAAGAGGCAGCTATTTTCATATTGCATAATGTGTATTCATAATACACACACACACACACACAATTAGTGTCTGATTTAAAAAATTGGGTTGAAATTACCAAATGAGCTGTTAATCACTTACCTATTAAAAAACTCAAATATTCATGTCAGTATTTAATGAAAATTATTCCAAGAAAAAACTGTAAATCCATATTAAGCAATAATTATTAGGTATGCTATAATTTTTCAAACTCTTGAGGACCAATCTAGCTTCCTTAGCATTTTATCATCACAGATTTTGGTTATTGGCATGGATATCTGTAGGAAATTATTTTAAAATGCATGCAATAACACTATGGTGCAAATCCTACCCTTATACATTTGCAGTTGAACACTGCACATTTCATCTCACAAATTTTGTCAACTAACTCCCCACAGATACCCAGGTATTTGCAGATTATGATTTCAGCAACAAAAGCACTATATTACTTTATTTATTTGGAAGTAAGCATCTTTAAACTCATAAACTCTGCTAAATTCAACAAATCTTAGTTTGAGATTAGAGTAGATATGCTTATAGCCTTAATTGTTCCAAACCTAGTATCCTCCAAAAGTACTGAATTACAACCCCCATCTAACCTAAATCCTTCATCAGCTTGGATTTGGGCCTTTTTTCCTTTGGGTAAAAAAAAAAGTCTCATCACTTGACGTGGGCAATTGCCTTATGGTACTATATTGGTGAAAAACAGCTAAACCACACACTCTTCTGTTCAGAAGTTGTAATGGCACTTTCTGCCCCAAATTATAAAATGAAGCCAGAGGGTGAAAGTCATACAAAGATGTATATAACTCAGCCATACTATTATTAAAACTTCATAATGCTATAAAATATATTTTTGGTATCTTTTGAACATCTGGAGTGGATAGAAGACTGTTGTGTTTTAAAAATATCACACGTGATTGCCTTTTTTGAAATTAGGAACCTTTTTGCCTCAAGTGCTTTTGGTTTTTCAACATGCTACTTCAGCCCTTTTAATCCAACGCCTAACATTGGTTGACCCAGTCCTGTTAACAGCTATAAACATTTATTTTACAGCTACTTAAATCCTGTAATTCTCTTGACACTTAACCAAGCCCGGATGCAGCCTGCCCCAATGATATCCCAGACTTTTCTTCAAGGACCAATCATCTCGGAAATCCTCTATTAGAAGATGCGATTGCCTAGCAAGCCTTGTTACTGAGGCAAATTAATAGAAGAGGCAAATTAGAGCTTGTGGGGCATACTTTTCTGCTTACTGAAGGACTGGAGGAATGTGCATTACTATGGCTGCAAACAAGAGCTTGGTGGATCTTTATTACCACATTAGCAAACTTCTAAGTTTCACATTTCTACAATAGCATCAAAACGCGTTTAGTTTTTACGAGCAATTTTAGTTTTAAGAGATCCTAAATGTAGAGTTTTCTGATTCGCAACCTTCCAAACGCTCGATTTTTGAACCTAGTCCGGGAGAGGTGAGACAGAGCAGAACGTGGATCGTGCGATCTACTCTTCCCGTTTTTCAGCAACCTACCGAATTTAACAAGGCTAGGCTGCACTCCTCTATGCATCAGCCTTGGAGTAAATGTCCCGCGTTTGAATTGTTAATACACAAAATTTATCGCCCTCTTATTTGGTCCATCTCGATCTCATCTGCAGCTCCTTCATCACTGCCGCTCCTACCAAGAGATCTGCCTGAAACTCTGATTCGAAGCCCGCCATCACCCACCGCCCCCAGGAGCCCCAAGGCGATTAACTGCGAGTCAGACGCAACTCAGACGGCAAGCGCTTGCGCAATGCTCCAGGATGCGAGTAGAAACGTCATTTCCGTCGCGGCGGTGACCAGTGCCGGAAGCGCCTGTTAGTAACGGACCTGGATCTGGTGTAGGGTTTGCAGTGGTTCCGTTGAGGGGCTGAGTTGCTGTAACGGGTGGTGTTACCGAGGCAAGCTGCCGTCATGGTGGAGGTAAGAAAGTAGGACGCTTTTCTTCCGACCCTTTGGACGTGTGCAGGGCTGCTATTCGGGAGGAAAGAGAAATTAGTGAAGGGCCTCCGCTCTTTCCCGCTTCTTTTTGATTGCGTTCGCCCAACACCTTAGCCAAAATACGGTCAACTAGCCTGGGTGGGAACCTAACAGTAGGGTGCCTTGTTCTGCGAATACTGCCGAGAGAGGATCGAAGGGTTTATTATACGGCCACGACTCTTCTTGTCTCCCGGCCGAGTGGAGCAGTTGCATGTCTTCGCCTTCGATCTGTTTATTTTTGCACCTGTCTGCAAAAAGCTGACTGGTTGGACATGAGCCTCGCCCGTGTGACAATGAAAATGGTCTCTGCCAAGAACTTCTGGGACCTGTAATCAAATTCTTATTTATATCTGGATGCGGACAGTCGTCTTGATTTTTTTTAACAATCTGCCAATTGCCACTTATGCCTAATTTGGTGAAGAGTTTTGTACTGCTGGTATGAGTTTTTGTGGCACATGGGTTGGTTATAATAAGGACATTGCACATGCTTTTCTCTCATGGGTCAGTACAGCTTTTGTGTATGCAAATGTAGTGTGGTGTTGTTGTTCGTATACCTTCTAAGTTTTCACATCCCTAAAGTGCTTTGCAACAATTGACCAAGCAAAAAAGATTAAACGTTCAAGGAAAAGAAGAAATCAAAGAATAGAATAGAATTTTTTAAAAGTAGGAGGAGGAAGACTTCTCCAACATATGTTCCACGTAATTGTTGTCATCTGTGCCTTCATAATTCCTCAGCCAACTATATTGGACTACTAAATTAACACTTTTTCCTTTCAGGTATAATTTTAGACTGCCTTTACTCCCCATTCTTCAAAGTCTGAAACATTGAGTATATTAGAGAACTCTTTTAAGAAGAATAAGTACTGCTCACTCACTAGTTGGCTTTAGGAGTAGCATTAAGTACCTGAATGGAGATGGTTTGTTGGGTGACCTGGAGCAAGACAAGATAGATGGCTACCTAGCTGCTGCTTTTCTCATCTTGAATGTATAGACCGAACAATTATTTCTTTGATCTAGTTTGCAAATCATTTTAAGCTATGATATGTTTAGCAATGGCTTATTGGGTAAGGTGAATTGGCCTCATTCATACCACGTGCTAAATCGAAACAGAACAATTGCATTAAGGGTTAGACTGATATGTGAACTTATCGTTTCTTTCTTTTGATGTTGGTTCAGGATAAATAAATCTGGGTTTAAACAGTACAGAAGCCATTATTAATTGAAGACCTTATGCTTTTACATGTAGAAATGTTCCAGTTAAGTCCCTGATGTCTGCAGTAAAAAAAAAAAAATCTTAGGTACCAGAACTGCAAGAAAAAAAAAATGTTGCAAACAACGTTATAGGACAGGTCTATGCAAGACAGTGCTGGGTAGCTTTGTCTTCTGTGGACATTGCCATTGCACTAGACAGATACCTCTGGCCCTCTAGAAGATCAGGTAACTAAATTGCAGCCACTGGCCACTCAGATGGTACTTACCTTTGATGTTGATAAACAGCATTGTAGTCATTGCATCAAGACAGCACACCAAGAATATAGTTGTGTATCCACATGTTTGGTGGCTGTTCACATGACATACAGAACTGTAAACTATTCAAGCACATTTTTCCTAATATTTATTTGTTAGTTTATTCTAGCTTGCATGCTGCTCCAACCATAATAAATTTGAGCAGCTAGCAACAAATTTATACAGGGGTGGGGGAGAAAAACAAAAACAATCCAATAAGAATAGTGTCTCTCAACCAACTTCATGGGTAGTATAATCTTCATTCATCCCCCAAGGCTTTCTTAAAGAGCATCATTTCTATAGTTCTTTTAAAACATAACAAGGAAAGAATGGTCCAGAAATCTGGGGGCCACTGTTCCCTAGGAGGGGACTGTTACTGAAAAGGTTCAATGGCAGTGTTGCCGCAGATGACAGTCCCTCATCAAGGGACCCTTGTCTAGTCGTCTTTTCCTAATTTTAACAGGAAGGTAGAATCAACCTGGAGCAGGCAATCTGGGAGATATCCGGGCCCTGAAACATATAGGGCTTTAAAGCTGACAATCAGCACCTTGAATTGCACCAATCCAGTTCCAGGAACAGTAGCATTAAATGGGCAAATCTAGAATGCTGATAAATGCATGGGTTGCCACATACTGAACCAAGTTTGCAATCTACTGTTCAGATGGAAGCCATGAGTCCAGACGGACTTGCAAATTGAGAGCCAGCTTGATCTGGAGAAGCACAACCCCATCGAGGACCAAAGATGCACTGTTTATGGAATAAGTAACCTTTGAAATCCACAGCTGCTCCATCTTGCTGAGATTAAATATGAGCCTACTTTTTCTATCCAGTCCCTAAGAGCCTTCAGACATTTGGTCAGGACTTCTACCTCATCATCTGCCCTGCCAAGGGTGGAAATTTATAGTTCAATATCATTCCATTTTGGTGATGACTCACCTTATGCCTCATAGTTCCCTCCCGAGATCCGGATGTCCCCTACTCTGCTCTTGTTCAGAAGAGTGGTAAAGACCTCGCTCTTTACCCAGGCCTTTGGTGAGGGAGAGTGAGACCCTTTGTTTCATTCCATCTGGTGTGTCATGCTTGCCATCTTTTATCTTGTATTGATTTTACTGTAATTTCTTTGATTGTTGTGAGCTGCCCAGAGTCATTAGGAGTTGGGTGGCATACAAGTTGAATACATTATTATTATTACCCCTCTCAGGGGCTTCATGTAACTGTTATATGGCAAGGATCAAGCTCTGTGGCACCCCACGACAGAGTGCCTGAGAATTTGACCTTCCTTCCCAATATCACCAACTGGAACCAGCTGCTCAGGAAGAAGGAATACCACTTTAAAGCAGTGTCTCCCATTCCCAACCCTTGCAACTAGCCAGAAAAATACCATGGTCAGTAATACTGAAGGCAGCCGAGAGGTATAGCAAAACCAGCATCATGCTCCCCAGTCAGTCACATTAAAGGCCATCAACAAACATATCCTGTGGGATCTCCATTAGTTTGAGTCAGTGTGTCATGTGAACCCATGAAATTTGTCCAATGTGTTTTTTCATGGTTAACTAGCTTATTTAATTACTGCAGTGTTCAGGTTTTGCATGACACAAATAATAAATTAACCAGACAGAATGGGCTCATTCAACAGCTAGGCTAAATTGTTGTTGATTAAGCTGTGGCTCACTCTGTTTTGTAAGAACAGCCATAGTACAACATTTGGAAGTTAAGATTCTAATAAAATGAAGTACATAATGCCACTGATACCAATCAGAAAATGAAATAATGTGCAAATCCATTCTAAATTTATTGTGAAACTACTTTCAATAGTAGTTTGTGAATCAGGGAAAGAAAATCATGCTAATGCACAAGGAAAAAATGTTTTTAGCCAAAAAGATTCCTGGAATGGCTTACAAATATCAGCAGTTATCTCTGCCCTCAGTTTTATAATCAAAAGGACATAGAAAGAGATTTAAAAGTAGGATAAACTTTGAAGTCCTAAACCTTACAGTTTTTATCTCTGCCTGGTGGAAGAGCATTTAGGGAAATATGATGAGATGGCTGATTTTCAGCAAACAGCTGAACTTGCAGTAGAACTGAGAGGATACTGTTCTTCTCTCCTTCAACTCTACAGCCTGATCACTAGGTGGCATTGAGGGCCAAAAGCAGTTGGTCTCAGCAGAGGCCATGGATTCCTTTTCTTGTTCTGCTTTGCCTTATGACAGAATGGTGTGGTGCTGTTTAGAAAACTGACTATTATTGAAACAAATAATTACAAGACACTGAATAATGTTATTTGTTAAACATTTTGGGGCTAAATATATGCAAGCAAATCTTTCTACGGTATTTGGAAATGGTTTTAGGTTTAAGTGATCTCTATCATTCAAAACTAATTAGCTGGAACAGACACACACACACACATACATACATACTTTTACCACTGCAAAACCACAGAGGTAATTTTCTGTGTCTTAAATTTTCACCTTTTAAAAAATAAAGCCTATATGCTAAGCATAACATCCTTGCTACATCAGAAGGGTAAAAAATTACAGTGAACTGTATTAAATTTTTTGCAGAAATTTTGTCATCTTCAGCATCCATTCCTCCATTGTAGGTATTTCAGAGTTGTTCTATCTTTGTGGGTATAATAATCTCGCTGCAGTTACCATGTACAAAGACAGTTGTCTATAAGTCTTTTCTAGTTGTTTGTCCACTAGTCTTAGCAAGCCCTAGTCTGGTTTCAGTTGAATATTAGTCTTTAAAATTTGTATTACTGTGTGTATTTGAACCCAAAATTTTCTAGCTTTTTTACAAGTCTACCAGGCATGATAAAAACCCTTCATGTTTTCCACATTTCCAACACAGATTTGAAGTACCCTTGTACATTCTAGAAAGTTTTTCTGGTGTCATATACCAACAGTACATAATTTTGTAAAAAATTCTCTTTTAAATTATAACATAAATTTTAGTTCTTTCAACCACATATTTCCCCATTGATCCATCTGTAATAGTACTATAACAACAATAACATTAGCAGCAATATAGTTAAATTGATTATGTGCCATCAAATTGTTTTTAACTCCTAGTGACCACAGAGATATTTACAGTTAAATAGTATCCAGTAAAACAGCCACAACCAGGTTAATTTTTCTTAATAGATACCTTGTGCTTTTTACCACTTTTCTCCCTTTCTGCAACCTTGACATTACATGGGGAAAAACAATACCTCATTGCTAATGAGAAAATAATTCCCTGCTTCTAGCTCTCAACTTTATAATATTACACAAACATAAGATAATCTCATTTTCAATACCCTTTGGGATTTTGGCAGATATATAAATAAATGGACATTTACTTTCATATAAATTGCATAGGAGAAAGGAGAGATTTCTCATGTCATGTTGATCTTTAGAGCAAGAAGAAACTACTGCTTTTTGTCTTCTTCCAAATAAAGCAAAACTTATGATTATTTTGCTTAGTGATTAGTGATTCCTTCTGACATGAAGGTGAGATTTCTCCTATTCTGTGGAACTTTGAAGGAGGTGGGGAAAGTGTGAGAGTTTTGTGGCTTCTTTTTCAAAGCTCAGTGAGATCAGATCTTCCTTCTCTTTGTTCATTGGCACATAAAGGGAGATTATGGTTGTTTAATAATTGAATCTTTTGTTTTCACAGCCTTTATTGAAATTATGGATATGTCTCAAACCTTTTTTTTTTTTTTTTTAGGAAGTGCAGAAGCACTCTGTCCACACTCTTGTATTCAGGTCTTTAAAGAGGACTCATGATATGTTTGTAGCTGACAATGCAAAACCTGTATTACTAGATGAAAGGAGGTAAGAAGTAGGACTATGCATGAAATGGAAAATATGTTTTATTTTGAACCCAAAGCAAACACATTGTGCTTTTTCAGTTCTGCCAAACTGTTCCATGTAGATTGGGGTTCAGTAAAATCAAATTCAAAATATTTTGGTTGTTCTGGGTTTCAGCTGAAACAAAATCTGGGAAGTTTTATATAATGAATAGGTTAAGACTAGTGTACCTCTCTTCTCTCTTCCATCCTCCATGTGGTCTGTGCATTGACTCACCCACTGATCTTCTGAGCACCTCCCTTTCCCTACCTGCACTGCTGTTAGTGGCTTCAAATGCAGCATATCTAACTGACCTGCCCTCCCCCATCTTCCCAATGCTTTCTTTTCCCTACCCTCCCTTATTGCATACTTGAAGCCAAGGCCATCAGCAGATAAGGTAGGGAAAGGAAAGCTGTCTGAAGACTGTAAGCTGTCCCTTTGAATATACTACACTTGAAACCAAGGACAGCAGCAGCTAACTGGCCACCCTCTGATCTTTCCAATGACTTCCTTTCCTTACCTCACTTTAGCTGCTGCCACCACCATTGTCCATGGCTTGAATCCTGAAGTCTTGAATCAGTCCAGTGCTCAGAGCTGTATACCCCTGGCAAAATGGAATAATCCCCCTTAATGAATGCATATAAATAAACTTCAAGTTATTTTATGCTAAATAATCAGAATTGATTTTTGCATTTCATTCACATTCAGAAAATATAGGAAATTTGAATTTGGAAAAATTTGTCTATCAGCACATGGTATAACTCCATGTATACATCAGACTTATTACCTGAACCTCTGAATGTATGGATCTCTTTACTATGGTATAGTTTTATTATAGTAAAACATATGTAAAAAAAATAAAGATGTAATAAAGTGTGTTCTTATGCAGCCACAAAGTTAAGATGGCAGTTAAACTCCGTACAGAATATGGTTCTGTGCTACATATGCCTGTATTGAAAGAATGTGCTCGAGAGAAGGGTTCTCACGGTGTAGTAGATTCCTACGGACATAAACAGTATCTCCAAAACCCAGGTATGGTGACAATTACACGTGTGCATGTGTGCATGAATGATAGACATACAGCTTTAATAACCCTGTACCCATTTACTCAGTAAACAGATTTAGTAACCATATGGTCACTATCAGATGATAGTAACCATCTCTGAGTAGAGATGGTTAGGATTATTTTATTGGATTTGTGCCCCACTTTTAAAGAGAGAGTTGCCTTCTGGTGGAGGAACAGAGTAGAATATAACTTGCCTGAAGGACTGCCACTGACCTAAATCATTGTTTTAAGGCAGAGATAATTAAATATAGATGATGATGTAATAATAAATTTGTAGATGATTTTAAAGTAATTTGGCATAGTATCTGACTACCAGTTGTGAAGAAAATAGTAACAACTAAAAAAGTTTCCAAACCCCAAGCTAAATTTCTGAAAAAAAACTGGGGAGGAGAGCATCCAGAGTTAATTTCTGTTTACAGAACATGAGTTTCCACTATTAATCACAAGTGGCTGGGCTGAGTTCTTGTGGGTAGGGAAAGACACTTCCTGAATTCTTAACATAATCTCCACTCACTCAAACAATTATTTTACTTCTGACTCCAGTCAATGATCTTGAAATTCTAGTCAAAGCAAAGTAGATCCTACATGCTGAAGTGTAGATGTGCCTGATTAAAAGGAAGAAGTATCATTTCAGATATGAAGGCTTCTTAGGCCCCTGGATATTGTTGAGAATATTTTTAATGTCTTCATATTTTTGAGTTATATAACACAGTAAATTATCTCAATGTATATATAGTTTTTGTTTGCACATGTTCCATTATTTATTATGGGAATAACTTTTTTTAGTCTTCTGTATGCTCAGTGTTAATGTTTTATCCATTACATCATCTATTAAAATCTCTTCTGTGTAATTTATCTTTATTTTTAAGATTAATCTTATTGCTTAATTTTTTAAAATTCAAATTCATCATTTGTTATTTCCTTTTCTAAAATTGATACATTAGGTCCTTCCTCTTTTTCTTCTCCTGTTTAAAATGGAAGCAATATCATGCTCTATTTATTAGAACATGTCTATTTTTTCACTAAAAATATTGTTTTCTAAAATTGTATCATTTAACTTTTCTTTATACTTCATTTTGAAACTATAAGAGTCTCTGTCTTCATATCCATTCAGGACAAAATTAACTTCTTTAATAACTGGCAACAGAGAAGGGAATATGATTATGTTAGTGATGAATGATTGACTTTTTTCCCCAGATTTAATCACTCTCATCCTTATCTGTATACAGAAATGCTTGGCCACATGCACAACGTTTTTTGTATAATTAAGAATGCTGAATGGGCTGCTTCTTCAAAAACTGAAACAATTAAGGACATTTATAAATGCCAGTTTCCTAACTGCTCAGATGTTTAGCAATGCAATAATAGTTAATAATTTATGATCACACTGAACTTCCATTTTAGGATTATAGTAGAAAATAATAGGTAGGCTATGCAATGTTTTGAATTCGGTTTTTAAAAGAAGTTTCATAGTGCGCAGGCAACTGTGCAATTTTGGGGAAAATATGTGATTGCTTTGAGGAATTGTAGGCAAGCGTTGTGTGTGTGTTTTCCTCTGAAGCATCTTTTTGGAATTATATATGAAATTCTGCATAGTCTCAGTATAGAAGGAAATAGTGAAATAGTAAAAAATACTGAATAGTGAAAATGTCTTTCATGTTGTAGATGATGTGTATAAAGTGCTCTGATTAATAAAATTGTGTCTATAAATGTTTATAGAGCAAATTGTTGATTATTTAATTTAGAAAAGTTCATGAGTTACATGTACAGTATCTTTGTGTGTGTGCACGTGTGTACACCTTTGAGTCAATGTTGACTCCTGGCGACTGCCTGGACAAGTCCTTGCAGTTTTCTTGGCAAGATTTCAGAAGTAGTTTGCCATTGTCCGTTTCCAAGGGTTGAGAGTGAGTGAGTGGCCCAAGTCACCCAGTTGGCTTTGTGCCTAAGGTGGGACTCACAGTCTCCTGTTTCTAGCCTGGTGCCTTAACCACTATACGAGTCCTGCTCTCTTACATATATCGTACTCTTAATCTATAGCACACATCAAAAGTGATAGTAAGTGATTTGTATTGGCAAACCATCCAATCTTTGTTCTACATGTATTTTATTGATGCTGAAAAATGACTAAATAGGAATGAATATTCCTAGTTAGACATCTCTCTCTCTTTTTTTAAGAAACAACCAAAGACATATTTTGTTTCATTCTAATAAAGAGATTGCCTATCTATGAATTCTGGATCTTTTTTTCCCAGAATTGATAGATCCAGTGATTCAGTTTTTCCTTTTTTGTCTGTTTTTTGTTTATATTAAACCATTCAACTAGTAAATATATATCCATTGGGTTGATTTTTCTGGATTAATATGGAGCACATGTGTATATATATATATGAGATATAATAAGGTTTTTAAAGAGAAATAAAATTGGCTGCTTAATCTACTATAATTACTTTGCTATTTTTCATAACCCTAAAATAAAGCTTTAACTCCAGAAAATCTGAGTAAGTGAAAATGGCAATTTCCCCGAAATAATAATATGATGATGATGATGATGATGATGATGATGA